ACGCATTCGCCTCTGTGCAGAAAAAAATTTGCGCCCACAATGCAAGGAAAGCTGAACGCCGAAAAGCTGCAATTGCAACAGACGGCCAATTTATTCGTCACTCGACTCAGACACCTGCTCTCTGAGAGCACTCTTCAACAATCCGACATACGCAAGCAGTGGAACCACATTTCCCGAACATTAAGTACCGCCGCCGAAGTAGTTTGGTTTCAGCGACCCCGAAAGAACAACTGGCACGAAGAGGCATGTCAAGAAGCCGCAGAGAAAAAAGACGCCGCCGATAGGGCCACGCTGCGATCGGGCGCAAAGCGAGCCATGTGGGACCACTTATAGGAAACTGAAGAAGGAAGCGAGACGTATTTGCCCCAAAAGGAAGACAGGAAAAACGCCCGAAAATTTTATCAGAGAATGAGGCGACTTACGGAAGGTTTCAAGACCAATTCGAACTCCTGTTGGAACAACCATTGCGACCTATAGACTGATCTCCAGAACGTACTTAAGTTATGGAGATAACACTTTTCTACCCTGTTGAATGCAGCAGCACTGAATGTAGTGGAGAAGATAAACCCGAGCTCCCAGTCGATGACGATGGACTCGACTGTCCCACCGCCTGAGTATGACGAGATACGCAAAGCGATTACGTGGCTGAAAAACAACAAAGCTACTGGAGCCGACGGCCTGCCAGCTGAGGTATTCAAGTACGGCGGCGAGGAGCTGATGAGGTGCATGCATTAGCTCTTATGCAAAATATAGTCAAGATGAACGCATGCCCGACGACTGGAATTTAAGTGTGCTCTGCCCACAAGAAAGGCTACCCCGCCATTCGCGCCAACTACCGCGAGATCAGCCTTCTAAGTATAGGTTACAAGGTCTAATCGAGTGCAATGTGTGAAAGAATGAAGCCAACGATCAACGAACTCATCAGAACCTTATCAGTGTCGCTTTAGGCCTGGCAAATCCACCATTGATCAGGCAATCACAACACACCAAATCTTGGAAGAGACCCGCGAGAATAGGATCGACACGCACCATCTGTTTATCGATTTCAAAGCCGCTTTCGACAGCGCGAAGAGGAGTTGTATTTAAGCTGCGATATCTGAATTAGGTATCCCCGTGAAACTAATACGGCTGTGTAAAATGAAGCTGAGCAATAACATCAGCTCTGTCAGAATAGGGAAGGACCTTTCCGAACCGTTTGATACCAAACGAGGTTTCAGACATGGTGACTCTCTTTTGTTTGATTTCTTTAAGTTGATGTTGGAGATGATAATAAGAGCCACAGAACTGAACCGCTCAGGAACAATACTTTACAGAGCTGGCATATGCCGACGACATCGATATCGGTAAAAGCAAGGGTATGTTCTGCCTTCTCGGGCTAAGATAGAGAAGCAAAGCGAATGGGTCTGGTGGTGAACGAGGACAAAACGGAGTATCTCCTATCGTACCACAAACAGTCAGAGTATTCGCGTATTGGCACACACGTCACTGTCGACAGTTACAAATTTTAAAAA